ACGACCCTCTACCCCAATTACATCTTCACCAGAGCGAATCACTGCTGCCACACGTTGAAGACCCCGGAGAATCCCTACGCCCTCTCCTACCCCGGATTGTAGTCATTCTCGCCGGAACCGCATTCTCCTTCTTCGGCGCATTCTGCACATTCCATGAGGCAATCACAAAGAGTTTATCACTCTTCGCACATCTCGCCACAACGTCACTATCACTGGTCACCTCCACCTCCTCTATGATCCAGGGGATGATCCTGATCCCCCAGATCTCCATCGTGTTCGGGTCATTCTGGGTACTATGATTTGTATAGACGTCATTATCATAGTAGATCGCTGCGTAGCTCGCGTTACTATGACAGGACGCCTCAGCATCACCGTTACTATAGATACTACTTCCGTTCATCTACCTGACATACGTCAATATCGGATTCTCCACATTGGTCTCAAATATTGTCCACCAGGGAACATCAGTCTTTACCACCAACAACCAGACCACCCACTCCGACCGGTATCCCACCTTCTCAGCCATCTGAATCACAAGTCGAACAACAGCAGCGTCCGGCACAGGATGAGCCTCAGGACCAGTCCCCCACTGACCAATCCTCTTCATCGCCCGATGATGCAGTATTCCAAGGAGACAGGTCACCATCCGACGATCTTCGACAGTTCCAAGACCTTTTCAGAAGAGTGGCAGAGACACAAAAGGTACAGATTGCGGAAGTCCAGCAGAAATCCCACCATCTGCTCAGAAATTTACAGCCATCACATCAGGCCAAGGTGGCTCTCCCACTAGATGAGGCCATCCTGGAGATTGCGGACGATATATGGCAACTGCCAGCCTTGACACCAGTCACTAACAAAAACACGGACACCCATCCCCAACCGAATTCCCTGGTTGCTGATGCAGCCTAACAAAGAACCAAGGGCTCACAACAAAGACCTAATGTGCCGGACAAAGACATGAAGCAATTAGACCTCTTTGGACGAAAGATTTACTTGTCTCCTACTCTGTATGGCCAACTATTCTGCATTATTAAGTAATCTTAGCTTTGGTAACTACTCAAAGCTAGTACCTCTGTTGGAGCATCTACCTGATAGTAAGCGTGAGGTCCTTAAAGCAGTAGTCCAAGAAGGCTATGCAGCTTCCAGAACAGCTTTTCATATAGCCTTGGACACAGTGGACACTGCAGTGCGTACCACAGCCACATCCGTGGTTATGTGCAGGGCATCATGGCTGTAGTAGGTGGCCGTTCCAAAGGCCCTCCTATCCAAAGTTCAGGATCTGCCCTTCGATAGGCAGAATCTTTTCTCGGACAAAACTGATCAGGTTCTTTACTCGGGTAAAGACTCGAGAATTACACTCAAGACTCTAGGGTTGTATATACCTCCTTTCCATCGTGAGAGGTATACTTCCTATCAGAGGCAAAGACCGTTCACCTTTCAACCATCCTAATGCAGGCAGCAGGACCAACAACGTAACCGGCAGCGCCAACAGAGATGAAGACCTCAGCCAAAACCATCTGGCCGTCTAAATACCAGACAGCAAGTTTGACACGCCTGTCACAGGACTATGGACCATTCCGCTCAGCAACCATCCCAATACTACAAATGCGCTGTTCCATCATCGTCTGAGACCCTTCCAACACCGATGGTCTCTCATCACCACCGACAGATGGGTGCTGGGACATACCATCCCATTCGTCTCTCTACCTCCTCCCACCCCCACCCCCACCCCGTCCCTTTTCAGGGACCCATCTCATGAGCCTCTACTACAACAAGAGGTAATTCGCCTTCTGGCCATTGGAGCAATAGAGACAGTCCCAAAAGAATTCAGAGGCAGGGGGTTTTATTCCCGATGTTTTCTCATGGAGAAAAAATTGGGGGTGGGGGTGGGGGGTGGAGGCTGATTCTCGATTGGTTCATGTCCCTCGATCTACAGGATGTGTATTTTCATGTGGCAATATACCCGGCCCAGAGACGATTTCTACGATTCCAATTAGGCGCAGACCATTTCCAATACAGGGTCCTGCCCTTCGGTCTCTCATTGGCTCCCAGGGTTTTCTCCAAGACTCTGGCAGTAGTTACAGCTTACCTGCGTTGTCTGGGCATAATGATATTCCCTTACCTAGACGATTGTTTAATCAGAGCTCCTTCAGCAGCAGAGACCCTTCACGTGACAAATGTCACAAAAATGGTTTTTGAGGCCTTGGGCTTGATCCTCAACATTCTGAAATCGGCCATGACGCCCCACCAGTCAGTACAGTTCACAGGTGCTCATCTCGACTCGACCAGGACACGTGCCCTCTTACCGATGACCAGGTTTCAAACAATACAAGATCTTATACAAACTATTACCACCAGTCCCAAACCATCTATACTTCAATTTCTTCAGCTTATGGGACACATGGCGGCCACAACGTACGTCGTCGAACACGTGAGACTACACTTCCGTTGTCTCCAGCACTGGATAGCAGTAGTATGCACTCCAAATGCTAGAGATGTCCACAGAAGGGTGACAATTCCTCCTTACATCAGAGACCCACTAGCTTGGTGGACTGTTCCCAAAAATCTGTTGTCGGGCATCCCCTTTCATCATCAACAACCGACAATACAACTAACCACCGATGGATCGCTGCTAGGGTGGGGCGCACACCTGAAACACGATCAAGCGCAGGGGCTTTGGTCTCCCGCGGAGTTGCTGATGCACATCAATCTCTTAGAAGTGCAGGCGGTGCGCAACACCTGTCGAGGCTTCCTTCCGAAGATTCACGGTCAAGTCATTCAAATTCTTACTGACAATATGACAATGGTACATTATATAAACAGGCAGGGCAGAGCCCGATCCCAGTCGCTTTGCGCTGAGGCGATACGTTTGTGGAACTGGTATATCCAGCACAAAATCTCCCTCATTGCCGAATACTTACCCGGTCAACAGAACACCATGGCCTATGCACTGAGCAGACTTTTTTCATGAAACACGAGTGGGAGCTGCACCCGGACATGCACTCAACCATATTCCATTCTTGGGGCTTTCCAACGGTAGACCTGTTTGCCACACGTACGAGCGCCAAATGTCCCCAATAGTGCTTGAGAGCGGGGATCGGACAGGGTTCTAAAGGAGATGCTTTCCTATGCTACTGGAGCCATCATCTACTATATGTGTTCCCTCCCACACCTCTCATTCCCAAAGTTCTAGAAAAGATACTCATGGACAGAGCCACTGTAATCTTGATAGCTCCCTTCTGGCCAAGACAAACGTGACTTCCTTACCTTTATTGAATGTCAGATCGTTCTCCGTATCCTCTGCTCAGGAGACACGACCTACTCTCCCAGAACAACCAGCTCTTGTTCCATCCTCAAATCAACCTTCTGGTGTTGATGGCCTGGTACCTGGTTGGTTCCCACAAACAGAGATGATTTGCTCACAAGAGGTCAAACACATCCTACTGCACAGTAGAAAATTATCCACAAGATCCTCTTACCTTCATAAATGGGCACGGTTCTCTGCGTGGTGTTCACTGACATGTTTAGACCCATACTCTGCTCCCATCCACCGGATTCTGGATTACTTTGTGCATCTCAGAGACTCTTCTCTCATCTGTGCTTCCGTTAGGGTGCAAATTGCCGCAATCACCGCTTTCCGCCACTCTGTGGATGGATAGTCTGTTTTTTCTCTCCCAATGACAAAGCGATTCATGAAGGGCATGACTAACCTTTTTCCACATTGCACACAACCAGCACAACTGTGGGATCCAGAGCTAGTTCTTAATGCTCTGACATGTAAGCCCTTTGAGTCACTAGCCACGTGTGATTTACGTTTCCTTACGATTAAAGTTACCTTCCTACTTGCTATAACCTTGCGAGAAGAGTTGGTGAATTGGCCGCCTTATCAGCTACACCTCCATACACAGTGTTCACCGATCAGGAAGTCATTTTAGGCCCTCAGCCCACTTTCCTCCCAAAAGTGAACTCGTGGTTCCACATTAACAAACCGATAGTACTTCCCACCTTTTATCCCAAGCCCCATACCTCGGCAGAACAAACACGTCTACACACTCTTGACGTCAGATGTGCGTTGGCCTTTTACATAGAAAGGACTAGACCCTTTCAGAAGGCAAATATGCTTTTAGTGTGTATGGCTGAATGTTCTATGGGCCACCCATTGTCAGCACAGTGCATTTTTGTCAATCCTAGTGAACTGCATAAAGAAATGCTATATCTTACAAAATAGACCGCTATTACAAAAACCGAGAGCCCATTCAACATCTGCAATGGCCGTATCAACTGCATTTCCGAAAGGCGTGCTGCTAAAAGACATCTGCAGGGCTGCTACATGGTCCTCACGCTTCGCTTTTACCAGACATTATGCCATCCTCAACCTTCACATACCAGATGAGGCACTGGTGACAGCGATGCTGTCCACGGTTGCGGCAAGATAGCTCCAAAACCTCCTCTGTCACAGGGGCTACTGCTGCGAATTCACATACAGTGGAGCAGCCACGGGACACTGCTTGAAGAAGAAGTAGTTACTCACCCTGTGCAGTAACGATGGTTCTTCGAGATGCGTGTCCCGTGGGTGCTCTACGACCCGCCCTCCTCCCCTCTTTGGAGTTTCTTATTTATGTCTTTCAGACCAAGAGGATCAGGAGGAACTGGCAGGAGCCAGACTGCACGCACACAAACGGCGTGAAAAGGCATGAGCCGTGCTTTGCGCATGCGCGGTCCGGCAGACTACAGCTAGAAAAGTTCTCCGATCTGCAGCACCAGGACAAGCCCGACGCCTGCAGTGGAGCACCCATTGGATACGCATCTCGAAGAACCATCGTTACTGCACAGGGTGAGTAACTTCTTCTTACCTAAGAAATGATTTTTTTCTCATTGCATCAGTTAGTGAAGTAGCTTCTCTGTTGTTTTCATAATCTGACTTTGGAGTTGGAGTTAAGGTCTGAAAAGAATAGGGGAAGTGGCCCATCCTTATGTATGTGTGCATTGTTTTCTTGCAGTGCGACATGTTTCCTGCAGGCTAGCATGCCTGTGTGAAAGCAGTGATCCTCCAGAGGAGATAGTGCGAAGGCAGATTTTGGTAAGTCTAGCTAAATGGTGAGAATGCAGATGCAGTATGGTGGTTTCCAAGGGAAATGATGGAAAGGTACTTTCAAATGATAGTGTAATTCAGGAAAGTGAGTGAATTGTATTTGAGGGATATAGCCGTTAAAGTTGGACCTGTGTTAATAAAATTGCAGCTGGTTAAGCTATTATAGTTAGGAGTTTCTCAGCAAAAGCATTATAAACCTTGACTTCCATAGCAAACCTGCATAAAGAAAGCTTAGTCCATGCTGAGAATATGAGTTCCTGAGGTTTCCCACATAGAAATTAGCTGCAATAGCTCTGCCTTACCCAACCAATAAAAATATCGTGTAAGAAGTAAATTACAGCTTCAGTACTTAATGGACAAGAGTATATCCTGTTGTGATAAGTGGATATTGTACTCATTTTTATAGTTGAGCTAATAAAGTAAGTTCATAAAATGCCGCAGTAACTTGTAACAGCAAATGTTGATGGGAAAAGTGCAAAAATGAGACAGACTGAATTAGTCCAAGCAAAAAGACCTACTGATATAACTCAAGGACTATGTTAAGATCATGCTTGGTAAACAGGAAAAACGTGGAACTGGAAATCAGTAAACCAAAATTGGGGTTTCAGACACTAAGCCTAATTGATAGACAAAACAAGAACTATTGTTCTTCGCATTACAGTTCATGTGCCTTCCAACAGCTGTGTGTGTGTGCCATGTGCGCAGGGGCGGCCCTTGAGCCTAGGCGAGCTAGGCAGTTGCCTAGGGCGCTGCTGCCCCGGGTGCCCGATGATGATGTCATTGGGCGCCAGGGGCGCCCTGTGATGATGTCATGGCCATTGATGGCCATGCAGGCAAGGGTGGCGACTCCACCGCCCCGCCTAGGGCGCCAGCTGCTGCAGCCGGCCTCGGGCCACTCCTGCATGTGCGCAGTCATTGTAATGTTTTTATCCTACTGGTATCTGTTCAGTTAGCTGTGGACCGCCTTCAAGTAGTGCCTCAGTGGCAGTCTATATAGACCACTGCTGACCTGCTGCTTATTTGGTTCCTTCTTATCACTCATGATGGTCATTAGAACAACTCTGTTCTCTTGCTTTGCAAGTGTCTCTTCGTTACTCTAGTATCATGAATAATTATAGTTTTTACAGGTTGAACCTCTGTAAACCGGGACTCTCTGGTCCAGCAACATCTGTGGTCCAGCAGGACCAGGGATATTCCAGGACCAGAGAGTTCCAGTGGAAGGCTGAAGGCTGGGCTCCCTGCAGCTGGGCTGCCAGGTGTGCTAGGTACAACCCAATGGGACTACCTGGCTGGGCCAGGAGCCCAGCATACTGCAGTGATGCTGCTCGGAGGGGCCAGGAGCCTTGCGCGTCCAGGAGTCGGCACAATTCAGCGCGGTGGCCTGGCCTGCCACAGTAGGGCTGCTTGGCACATCCAGGAGTCCAGTGCACAGGGAGCTGGGCTGCCTGGCTTAGCAGGGAAGGTGGGGGGAGGACTGGCAGAGCAGCGGGGCTGGCAGGGGAATCGGGGGGCGGGGATGGTGGCCAGAAGGCTGGTGGTCTGTCCAGGTCTGGGGGGGCTGGTAACATGGAGGACTAGATGTAACCTCCATTGGTCTGGCAAAATCTCTCATCCGGGACTAGTCAGGTCCCGAGGGTGCCAGATCAGGGAAGTCCAGCTTGTAGTTAAGTTTCATTTTAGGGAGTCCTCCCTATCTTATTCCCCCTAACTGTGGTATGTCTTACTCTCAGGGCTTTAAATCCTATGAGAGCTGTGGAAATGTCTGGCTAAAGGTGATCTGCTTGCGGTGTGCCATAAGTGCTTGGGAGAGGGCCATCAAACCAACAAGTGCCCCATTTGCAGGAGCTTTAGACCTTGAACAAAGAAGGAATCATAGAATCATAGGACTGGAAGGGACCTCAAGAGGTCATCGAGTCCAGCCCCTCGCCCTCAAGGCAGGACCAAGCTCCGTCTACACCATCCCTGACAGATGTCTATCTAACCTGTTCTTAAATATCTCCAGAGAGGGAGATTCCACCACCTCCCTTGGCAATTTATTCCAATATTTGACCACCCTGACAGTTAGGAATTTTTTCCTAATGTCCAAGGAGCCAGACTGTCACCTCAACCTACTTCTTATGGAAGTTGCTCTTTGGCCATAGCTAGCATCGGAATTGGCTATGGTAATAGCGGTGTGCAGTGCTCTGGTTTTAGTGTGGGATGCTTCGGCATCAAAGATGCTCCTTCTACCAGCACCTCTCCCAAACACACAAGGTGGGGTTGAGTGTGTGGCACCGCTCCCAGACTCTGGTGCCATGTGAGAAAAAGAAGGCAGATAGGAGGTCAGTCTTCTACCAAGACACCACAGAGAGACAATAGTGGGGTGCAACCAGTGCTCTGAGACTCTCATACTAGGGAGCTGCTGGAGGAGGATGGTGACCTCCTATTGACAACTGACATATTTGAGGTAGCATGGGTCCTTATAGCCATGACGGCACAGTCCCTGGCCTAATGAGAGGAGCTGGTCAAAGCGGCAGTGCAAGCACTGGCACCAGTGACGGCACCACCAATTATGATGGCATCACTGACAGTACCAGCACTGCCCCCTTTTACCGTCACAGCATCAGAGACGGCACCACTGCTGATAAAGCACAAAGGCAAATTGATGATGCTATGATGAGGCTCTCCATTGCTGTGGTACCATTCGTTGGGATCCACACCCCTGTGGACTAGCATGGAGTATGCTTTGGTCTCCAGGGCTGAATCTTTAGTCTCATTCCACAGTTGTTACAGATCTTGGTCCTGGCACCATAGGTCACAGGATATGCCAGTGTCAATGGTTTCCTGGCCCCCACAGTAGCAGGGTCTAGTTCAACTGACCTTTTGGATCCCTTGGGCTTATCAGGCTGAAGGGTAGGGTTTCAGAGCAGCATTGGTGGTGTGTGCACTGTGTGCACTTTGGCCACCTTGGTACCATGTCAGACCCCCGATTACTACCATAGTCCTTCACAGGTCGTGGACACCGGGTCTGCTTCAGGGACTGCACCTATTGAGCCACTATCCCAGAATATACCTTTGCCACAATCCACTTCTCACAGTGCGGTCATGCCTGAGCTACTGTCCAGAGAGCCTGAAGGACAGGAGGACCTTGTACTAAGAGCTTTGTCATTGTCATCACCAGATGAGGCAGTGGCAGGCATCTCCACCACTACATTCCCTACTATGGACAATAAGGCCTACCAGGTTCTTTAATGGGTGGCCCAAAATTTCCACCTTTAAGCAGATGAAGTGGTGGAAGACTGACACAATTCCAGCCCCAGAGGGTCCTTCAAGGCTTGCTCTGCCACTCATAAAAATGATACAGGCCAACACAAAGATGCTCTGATAGACACCAGCCTTCATATTTCGGATGGCTCGGGGTAGAAAGGAAGTATTTTGTTTCTTAAAAAGGAACACCTTTTCATGCAGCTTCAATCAGGGATGCTAGTAGACAGTGTGGCAAATTACAAGGAGCAGTAAAGGTCAGCCCAGGCCCACTCCCAAGTCCAAAGATGCAAAGAAATGGGATCTGTTTGGGTATGTCTACACTACAGCGTTAATTCGAGTTATCTTAATTTGAAATAGTTAATCTGAATTAAGCTAATTCTAATTAATGTGTCTACACACACAGTGCAGTTCGAATTAGTGTTTTGCTAACTTTAAATACTGCTTCCACACTGAGTGGACACTGATTCAGATTTAAGGCTGGCCGGAACCAGGTCAGGGGTAGGGCATCAGGTCAGGAGTGTCTTTGTGTGACTGTTGGCTGAGACTATCTGAGGCTTGTGCTTAACGGGGGGGGGGGCACCCAACCCCCCCCCTTCTTCCCCTGGGCAGCCGGTTCCCAGGTGTCTCTACTTGCTTGCCTGCGTCGCTGAGAACAGCAAAGCATTTGTCTGAGTGCTCTGGTTGCCCTCACTCAGAGTATCATAACACTCTGCAACATGGAGCCAGAGCTGCCTCTGGGCACTCTGGTGCTTCTCATGAACATGTTGCTGTGAGCCTGGATGCACTTTCTGCAGGTTGCCATCCGGGAGGTCCATCGGGAGGCTGTCAGTATCCAGGAGGCCCTGCGACAGAGCTTCCACCCTGAGGAGCACTCAGAGCCTCCCTGGTATGCTCCACTGGAGGCTTGTGCCTCATTCCTCCCTCATGTCCTTCCACTTACCCCTCCTCCCAGCCCCGCTTCCTGATGTCAAATAAAATACACATATTGTCATGAACACAACCTCTCTTTATTTAACTAAAGTGGCGGGGGAGGGGATGAAACTCTGGTGAGACTGGAGAAAGTAGGCAGGAGAGGGGAAGAAAGAGGGTGGGAGAGGGGAGGGGGAACCTGGGAGGAGGGAGCTGGAAGGGGGAAGCAAGGGGAAGAAGGGGGAGGTGGAAGCTCAGGGTTGGGTGTCTCGCCAGACCACCTTGATTTTCATGTGAACCTGCTCCTGGGATCTCATGTGGCCTTTGGTGGCCAGGTTGGCAGCTATCCTGCCATAGATGGCCACGTTCCTCCGTCTAGTATGGAGATCATGGACATTGGGGGATCCCCTCCCCAAACCTGAGTAAGATCCACCCTGATCTCCGCCCTGGACCAGGAAGGTTCCCACCTTCTCTGGGCCCTGGCAGGCTCCAGGGAGCTGGCAGACTACTCCTGGGGAGCAGTGGAGGGCTGGCTGCCAGTGGCTTGCTGGCTCATGTTTTGGGGCCACTGGGTCAGGGGCAGTGACTGCGGGCTCTGGGCCGGCAGGCTTGGAGCTGACACAGGCACTGTGGTCAGAGTCTATACCCCTTTAAGGGTTCCGGGGAGGGGGGGAGAGGGAGAGGGATGGTTCCAAGGAATCAATTCCTGGAATTTTGCTAACGCACTGCAGGAATTGAAGGTGCCAGCAGCTGACGACTGCAACTACAAGTGACCAACCAACAGAAAGTCCTCCTGGCACAGATTTTACATTCAAAGGGTATGTCTACACATCAAAGTTAAATTCGAAATAACAGCTGTTATTTCGAATTTAACTTTGATGTGTAGACATACCCTTTGAATGTAAAATCTGTGCCAGGAGGACTTTCTGTTGGTTGGTCACTTGTAGTTGCAGTCGTCAGCTGCTGGCACCTTCAATTCCTGCAGTGCGTTAGCAAAATTCCAGGAATTGATTCCTTGGACTCCAGTCCAGAGTTCTCAGTATTCCTTGAGGAGGCAAGACAGTGTCAAGACCATCTCTACAGGCTGCTTTGGACTCTGCGGTCCAGACCGTGACTACAGTGATCACTAGGAATACAGCATGCAGACGGGGGCTGTAAGTTGAGGCAGGGGTTGGGGTGTGGGTGTGGGTGAGGACTCTGGGGTGAGCAGGGATGAAGGGTTTGGGATGCAAGAGGTAGCTCCGGGTTTGGGGAGGATCCCAAGCCTGGGGTTTGGATGCACAGATTCTGAGCTGCAAGTTCAAAGCAGGAGCGGGTACAGGCTCTGGACTGGGGCTGTGATATTTGGGGTATGGCCTGGGCTTTGGAGTTCAAGAGGTGGCTTTGTGTTGGGAGGGCTAAAGGTGATGTGTGTGGGGAGGAGGGTTGAGGCTCTGGCTTACCCTGGGTGGCTTTTGGTCACAGTGCTGTGCCCCAGAAGCACCCAGCAGGTACAGCTCCTGGGGGTGGGATGGAGTATGAGGCTGTACACTGTGAGCACTGAGGATGTGATAGTGTACGTGGTTAAATGAATAACTGATGAGCCTGGGCTCACTGATTAGCCTTCATTGTTACATGCAAGGGCCTGCCCCCCTTTGCTGCCTTTGTATAACAGGCAGCAGCACAGCAGGGTCGGGAGCATGTGGGAGCTGGTGCAGGGAGCAGCATGTAGGTTAAGGGGCAGATGGCTCCGTGGGGAGCCGGTGCTCACAGGGAGCTGTGGCTCCTGTGCTGCTGCCTCTGAGGAGCAGCACGAGGGGAGGGGTAGACATCTCCAAGAGAGCTGCCTTTCCCCCTGCGTGTGAATGTTTAACTGCTGAAAATTTCAGTGGTTACATGTTTCCAAACCCCCCCACTCTTTAACATCCCTAAGTGTGTGCTGCTCTTGCCTGCATGGTGAAGGTAGAGAATGGTTCGCCACGGTCCCCCACCTAGGCGCTGAACCTACTGTGCTGTCCGCTCCCTCGCTGGCCCCAGCACAGAACAGCCATGAGTGCAGCAGCTTTAAGTTGGGTAGGGGTGCCTTCCTGTTACCTCCAGCTGCTTCCTGCTGGGGCCAGTGGGATGGGTGCGTACCTGCTGACTGCAGCAGCTTTCGGGGCTTGGAGATTAAAAAAATACATGTATTAATGGAGATTTCCTAGTACTGGAAGGGACCTTGAAAGCTCATCGAGTTCAGTCCCCTGTCTTCATAGCAGGACCAAGTACCATCCCTGACAAATTTTTGCCCCAAATCCCTAAATGGCCTCACAACCCTGGGTTTAGAAGGCCAATGCTCAAACCACTGAGCTATCCCTTCCCCTGCAACCCTGAGCTCCTAGGTGGGGCTTAATAGCAACTTCATGACTGCACAGCTTAGAGGGAACTTAAGTGGCTAGCACTATCAGTACAGGTAAGGATGTTAACTAACGACTAATTTACTAGTCAAGTAGTTGATGGAATTTCCATTGACTACTTGACTAGTCTATAGGCACTTCTGCATTCCTCCTTTGATATGTACCAGAGCCCCTGCTGGGGCCACTGGGTCAGGGGCAGTGACTGTGGGCTGCTGGGGCTCTGGTACATTTTAAAGGAGGAATGCAGAATTCCGCATGCAGCCCTGGGGCCAGCGGGAAGTCCAACTGACTCCTGGCCCTAGGGTGCTTACCCTTTGAGAGGCACAAGAGCCCTAGCAGTCCTGATTGTGCTGCGATTGCGGACAGGGGCTGCTCCAGCTGGGTCTGCTGCGGCTGAAGGCAGGGTTCAGGCAGCAGGGCCGATTAACTGGTTACCTTGTAAGCAGGCCAATAAGTCACCTGCTTACCAGGGAACCGGTTAACCTTTTGCATCCCTATCCAGAAGATATGTGGGTTATACGGCCTCTGGCGAGGAGGGGTTTACCTAGGTAATTCCTGGCTGGAAGCCACCAGAGCGCTCAGGCAGGCTCCCAGCCTGCTCGTAGCCCCAGACCACTCAAAGCAGTCAGCTGCTGTGGCCATGAGCCTCTCTGTGCTGCATGCCTCTTGCGGGGGAGGAGGGATGGCGGGAAGATTTTTGCGTGCTGCCCTTGCCCCTACCATAATCATTACAGCTTCCATTGGCCTTCCCCTGCTCCTCCTGCAAGGGGCACATGGCACAGAGAGGCACATGACCCTCGCAGCCAACTGCTCTGAGCAACCTGGGGCTTTGGCAGGATAGTTTCGCTAACTGCACTTGCGCACCTAGATTTTGTGGGGTTTGCTCATTGAATTCTAGTGATGCTTTGATTTGATACAGAGGGAGTACAGAGCTCTCATAGTCAATGCTGTGTGCACTTAGAATGCATCTCACGTCATGTGCCCTTGCTTTATGTCAGGGCTACTCAACATGCGTCCCGCGACCCATTTGTTTGCAGCCCATGGTGTGGTTTGGGTTTAGGCGGGGCTCAACACAGCCTGCAGGTGGAACCCAAAACAAAAAAGTAGTCAATATAATGGGCTTCTGTTGATATGTGTTTTAGTAGTTAAATTCCTGGACTGTCATTGCTCATTAAAAGTGCTATCATATGGGTGGAAATCGGGTAATCTTGCATTGTATTAATATCAGCAGAACTGACTTAAATGGGGCCTGTGTGTGGTGTAGTCTTGCCTTAATCTTTGTATTCATGCCTGTCAGTGTGAAAGAAGCTATTTGCATAAATTTGCATATATATTTGCAGCCACATTTAAGTTGTGGCTCTCGGCATGTGCTGTGAGTATCATTGTGGCCTCCAGGACTTCCAAGGTTGAGTAGCCCTGCTTTATGTGCATGTCACTTCAGTAATACTGGTAGGAAAAAAACTATATAGACAGAAAACAGCAGAATCTGGCAACCCTGCGCATGGGCAATGGTAAACAGAAATGTCTTGGGAGTGACATAGAGAACCTTGATGGGCTGCATGTAGCCCTCAGGCTGCAGGTTGCCCACCATTGGTACAGACTCATACCTTTGTCAGTGGGGTCTCTGTGTCATAATTCCAAACTTAGTTTAAAACTGCTCATTGTTGGACAGTGACAGCATTATGTTAACAATTTGATGGTTTGCACTCATATATTCCATTTAAATTAACACAACAGGACTTACAGATCTTATACTACATCAGAACGCACTCAAATAGTTGAGCCACTTGTCATACAAATTTTAAGGTTTGAAATTTTCTCTATTGTCTAAGATACATGCATCAACATGAGATCCATCATTGAATAGTTTGAAAATGGTTGAATAGTCACAAAACACATGTTTTTTTTTCTGCTTCAGATGACTATGAAGACTGGAAAAGGGTGGGTGGATGCTGGAAGAGCTGCCCTTGCTGACGGATTTCTTGTGATTGCCATAAATGTAAGTTTTTGGTTAGGTGCAGTCTCCTACAGACACTATTACTAGCAAGTGCTACAGTTGAGTAACAGCTCTCTGGGTGCTTATGTTTTCTTTTTCAGAGTCTAGAAAAACTATATGCTCAATTAATGAAGAGAAGCAGCGATGAGGCAGATATTCAGGTGCACAAAGCCGATGTAGAGAAGGACCTGTTCAAAGTGCTGTCTTATCAGGCTGAATCAGTATGTCTCCTGGCCAGTTTTTCTTTATAGGTCATTGGGGCATATTAAATGTATGAATGATCACACTGTAACTTTGAACCAGTTGTAGAAGTGAGAGTTCCTGTCAATAAACTGGAAAGATATGTTTTCATAGATCTACTATAAGGTCTTAGATTTGACTTCTCAGTGTTGCAGTTGTGTAAGCATTCTTAATATCTATTTTTTAGACATTTATCTCAACTTAGTTATCATAATCCAACAATGTTGTTTAGACTGTTTCTTGATGAGAATATCTACACAGCAATGAGACACTTACATCTGGTCTGTGCCAGCAGCTGGGGCTGCGGGCTAGTGCTGTGTAGACTTCCAGCCTCTAATATCCTGTGAGTAGAGAGTGTCCCAGAACTCAGGCTCCATCTTGTAAGTCCCATTAGCCTGAGTCAGCTGACATAGTTCAGCCACCTTCTGTGATGTAGCTAACCGGGAGTGTTTATAAAGTGAACAACTATCTTTTTGAGGCCTCAGTCACCTCTTATATTACTTTGGATCCAGGGTCTATACATCAACAGAAAGAGATTTTGTGAGATTTTTAAATTCAAAACTACGCATCTCTGTGCTGATATTCTGTCACTGACCTGATTAAATAATACTGAACACTGTCTAGATCTCAAGTACCCATGATCTAAGAAGTGTTAAAAGCCGGACACAGGATGCTGTGTGCAGTGTATAACAACAACTTTCTTCAGTGGTGTCCCCATGGGTGCTCCGCTTGAGGTGTTGGGCTCGTCCCGGCGCCGCAGGTCGGAGAGTCGTCAGACGTGGTCCAGCCGGACCATGCATGTGTGGGGTGCGTGCTGTTTGTGCTGGTTGCTAGCTTGCGCGCAGTCCGGCTTCCCGCCAGTTCCTCCTTACCGTTCAACGGTAACAGGTGGAGCAACTCGCTTCTCCTCAACTGTTTAAAGAAAGAATTGTGTAAATAGTTAGTTAGTCAGCCAATAGTTAATAGTTAGTAAGTTAGTTAGTGTGTTAATGTTTGTTCAACAGTTTCTAGTTTAAAAAAAACCTAAACAAACACAAACTGTTTTTTTCCTCAGTTCATAATGCCGGGTTCCTCCGGCTTCAAAAAGTGCTCGCAGTGCCATGACGCGGTGCCAGCATCAGATGGGCACTCTCTGTGTGAAGTGTTTGGGCGAGGGGCATGTACCCCATAAATGCCCACACTGCTTGAAATTGACCGATTGAGCTAGATGGGACCTCAAGATGCGGCTGAAACTGCTGCTATATAGCAAGGCACTTCAGCTGGAAGATACTCAGCTGCCGGGGCAGTCTGTTCAAAAGACTTCGGCATCAGCAAAAACCCCGACTCTCCCCTCTGTGTCATCTAAGGGCGGGAGTCATAAGCCAACCAGGCTATCACAGCAGGGTGAGCGGCAAGGGAAGAACCGCAGTGTTTCCGAGACGAGCCCCACCTCTAGCAGGGGGGCGGATCAGACCATGGCTGTGCCATCAAGACCAGAATCTACACCAGCTCCAGTACAAAGGCAAGCTCAGACACCCGCGACTGTGTGTTCCCTAGCGCTGAAGGCGCCGACATCGGCACCAGCGGCATCGACCCTGCAAATG